GCCCGGTTCCTAGCCCGGCTCCCGGAGGGCAACGAGTTGAGCCCTGCCCGGCTACTCCTGCATCCAGCAGCGTCCATGGTGCCACAGCAGCCTTGGGATCGCCTCCCAGATGGGAGCTTGAGCAACCAGCACCATCCCGAGTTGCTTCCCCCTCTCCAGGCAGAAGCAGCATTTTTTTTCAGTGCTGCCTCAAAAAGCAGACTGTTTTATCCCGCAGACTGCTTCTAACCCCGGCCTTGGCCGCGGTCTCTCTCTGCTCGGCGTGTATGCTGTTTTTGTTGGCCGGAAGGATGCGGGAGATGGAAGCGGTGCGGCAGGGAAGTCCCTGTGCCCTGGGCTGGTGTAATAGCCATGCCACCTGGTAGAGCCGTGCCATTGTGGCAGAGCCGTGCCATCTGGTAGAACCCTGCCATTGTAGCAGAGCCGTGCTACCTGGTAGAGCCGTGCCGTTGTGGCAGAGCCGTGCCATCTGGCCTTTCCACATCCTTGGCAGCAGCTTCCCAACGGTGCATCCCTGCCTGCAGCGGGGCTGTCCAGCCAGAGGGTGTCTGTTCTGCTCGTTTGCCGCTGCGAGCAGCCCCGAGTCTGTTATTTTTAAACGATTAGGTTCGACACATAACAAAAGCCTTCAAAATAGGATTTGTCCCTAAGGCCGATTTAACTGTCAAAGCTTAAAGTGGCTCCTAAGCCTCGTTGAGGGCTGACAGCGGCAGATTTAGTGCTGCTGCTGCAGCCCCACGCTGTGCCAGCCCAAGGGGAGCTGGGGCAGGTCCGTGTCCTCATCCTGTACCCTGGGGTGCTGAGCAGGAGGTGCCGGATTCTGTCCCCGTGGCATCGCTGGCTCTTGGGGCTTCATTCCCCTGGACGAGCTGTGGGGCGGGCTGAGCCCGAGTGCTTTGCCGAGCTCTGAAACCCGGGATTCCCGGTGTGGGGGCCTCAACACGGACCCGGAGGGGGCTCAGCACGGCACTCAGGCACTGACCCTGCTCTCTCCACAGCCGAGCCGTGCCCAGAAGAGGAGACAGTGCTGCACTGCCAGAATCCTGACTGCGCCGGAGAGAGGAGGGCGGCCAAGGTGGGTCCTGCGGGGTGGGGGCAGCTGCTGCCCGGGGTCTTGGGGGTGAGAAGGGGCAGCGGACAGCTCTGCCCAACCTGCCGCTCCCTGCAGGGCCCCTGTCCTGATCAGCAGCTCCTGGCCTGCCGTGCCGGGTGTGCATTCCCGGCTGGGGTCAGGGTCCTGCTGGCATTTACCAGCACAGCGGAGGTTTACGCGTTTCCCCGAGCTGCCGTGATTTGGGCTAATCCTCTACAGCCCGTCTGTTCTCCACTCGCTAACGTGAAGCCAGGGCAGATTTAGGGTCCTTTCTCTCCCTCTGGCCGTACGGAGCAGGGCCGGACCCACGCCCAGGCTCGCAGCGCG